TTGTGCCTGGCCTCAGGGATTTATCAGGAACAAAACAAAGACCTTGCTCTCTTAGAGATTAAATTCCAGTAGTGCTGGGTGGTAATACACAAGAAAATAAATAACAAGATACTCCCAAATAGTGACAAGTGTTATATAAATAATAAAACCAGATCATGTGATAGAAAGTATCCCGAGGACAGGGTTACTTACATAGGGTGGGCTCTCTCAGAGGTGACATTGGAGCTGGGACATGAATGATGAGGTGAACAGCCTGCAGAGTCCAGAGTCCACGGGACAAGATCTGGGCAAGAGAACTCCAGGTGGACTGTAAATGCAAAGGCCCTGATGCACATAGGAGTTTAAGCTGTTTGGAAGGCCAGGAGAGTGAATGGGTGGATGTGGTGGGAGGAAGTGATCACTGGGTAAAATGAGATTAGAGAGGTAGGCAGGAGCCAGACCACAGTGGCCTTTGGGGCTATGGTAAGGTATTTGGGCTTTATTCTGATTTACTTTATTTATTTTTTTGTTAATCCTTTATTTTCTTTATTTACTTTTTTGTTAAACCTTACTCTAGGATATTTTTCCATTGATTTTTTTTTTTTTTTTTTTTTAGAGAGAGTAGAAGGGAGGGAGAGAGAGAGAAACAATGATGTGAGAGAACTAGTGTTTATTAAGCAACTGCTCTATGTTGATGTTGATTAGTTGCCTCCGCATGACCCCTCAGGGTCAGATATCAAACCTGCAACCCAGGTATGTGCCCTTGACTGGGTATCAAACCCGAGACCCTTCTTCAGACCGATGCTCTAAACACTGAGCAAAAATGGCCACAGCTCTATATTTTTAATCAATCAAGGTATATGGTGAATGATTACAATGGGGCAAGGATGGAAGCAAAGACAATAGTAGGAAAGCTGTCTTGTCTAGGTGAGAGAAACAAACATTTTTTTGTAAAGGATCAGGTAATATATAGTTCAGGTTTGGTGAGCCACATAAACTCTCTACAACACTCTCCTCTCCTCCCCTCTGTCTGGCGCCTCCTCCTCCCTCTTTTTAACAATCCTCTAAAAATGTAAAAGCTCTTCTTAGCTCTTGGGTGATATAAAAACAGGAGGTTGCATGCTGGATTTGGCCTGCCTAGATGGGCAGTAGTTTGCCAACCCCTAGCTTGGAGAGAAGTAGAAACTGTCATAAAGTTAGGACACAGAACTGGTATGATTTGCTGATGAACTGGCTCTGTGTGGGGAGAGGGTAAGCGAAAGAGGAAACAAGAATGGCTTCAGTGAAGAAGTAGAAGGTGGTGTAATTTACTGAGATGGGGAAGAAACAGATTTGGGAGCAGGAGGAAGGGGAAATTAAGAGTTAAGTATGAGTTGCCAATTAGTCATCCAAGTGGAGATGTCAAATAGGGAGCCTGATACAGACAATGGAGTTAGGGGAGAAGTCAAAGCTGGAGATCCACATTTGGGAGTTATCATCTATGGATGCACTTAAAGTCAGCCAGAGTGCACTGCAGAGGTTCCAGAACCAGGTCCTGGGGACTTTGGAACGTAGAGGACCCATAAAATAGGTCCTTGGAACCACTGTCTGGGTCAAAAAGTATGACACATGACAGACAAATATTGCCCAATTGCTTTTCAAAAGGTTCTTTTGCATCTTCACAGAACCAATCTTGTTTTAGCTATTTAAATATACACTGTGAGTGGGACTGTGCACATGAATGAGCAGGGACGCCAGAATTAGGAATCCTTGACTGTTTTTGCGTTGGAGCTGGGGAGCACACTGGAGGATTAAGCTGGTTAAAGGAGGCGTTAAGAGGGAGGAAGCACTTCCAAGGATTTGCAACTATAGAATCACCCAGTAAGCTTATTATAAATGCAGATTTTTAATAAGAGCTTTTGATTCACTGTCTGGGTTGAGGTGTGTTTAAACATGTTCCCTCTCATACAAACAGAAGGTTGAGAAATCTGTGACATAGGGATAGATTGAGCAGAGGGTGTGTCCTCATGACGTTTCTTCACCTCCAGAGGCTCATGGGGCTTCAGGAATCTTAGGTGGGCCTGGCTGGGGAAGTTTCAGGATGAGGGGATGGCAGAGGACTGTTAAGCCAGGAAGAAACTTTTTTTTTTTTTCTAGTTTTGGGACACTTTCCATTTACTCTCCAATTCAGAATGAAGCCTCTCCCCCACACTGATGTAAAATGGTATCGTTTTCATGCAGACGCAGTTTAAAAATTTTGAGTTCCCCAGGAGTATCTACTCTGCCTTCTAGTGCCACAGTATAGAAGGGAGAATTTTCTTTTTCTGTTTTTATATATTAACAAGAACACATTTTTTTCAATTCAAATACAAGAACTGCATGTTGTTGATGAAACTGAAATACCTACACTTTAGATACATTATGAATTTGTGTGAAAACAGCTAAGGAACAATGTAAGGAATTTGCCATTAGCCCTCTGCTAGGAGCTAAGAAATCAATCTTACATTTATTGAACCACTACTTATTTTGCCTTCTAAATGCCAGGCAATATTTTATTTTTATCTTTTTAAATTTTTATTTTCTTTATTGGTTTTTAGAGAGAGAGGAAGGGAGAGGGAGAGAGAGAAACACTATTGAAAGAGAACATCAATTGGCCGCCTCCTTCATGCCCCGCACTGGGGATCAAGCCCACAACCTGCGCATGTGCCCTGACCAGGAAGTGAACTAGTGACCTCCTGGTGCATGGTTCGAGGCTCATCCACTGAGCCACACCAGCAGGGCAACCCAGGCAATATTTTAGATTCAGAAGATAAAGCAGTAAACAAACTAGACAAAAATCCCTGCCCCTCACAAAACAGGTAACCTAGTTAGGGAAACAAGATTCATAAACATGACATGCAAAATGTATATTGTATTAGATAGTGGTGAGTGCTAAGGAGAAAAATATAAATGAAGGAAGGAGAATAGGAAAGAGGGGCTGAGATAAGTGAGAACACAGGACAAGAAAGGATTTGAGAGCTGTGATTTAGGGAAGTAACAATTTCTCTAAGCCTCAATTTCTTTTTCTTTTTTTTTTTTTTTTTATCCTCACCCGAGGACACTTTTCCATTCTTTGTTCAGATAGAGCAGGAGGGAGAGAGAGAGAGAGAGAGAAACATCGATGTGAAAGGGACACATCGAGTGGCTGCCACCCGCACGACCAACCAGGGCCGGGGACAAACTGCAACCGAGGTTCGTGCCCTTAGCGGGAACCAAACCCGGGTCTCTCCGGACCGCAGGCCGACGCTTTAACCGCTGAGCCAAACCGGCCAGGGCTAAGCCTCAATTTCTTCATGAGTAAAATAATAAATAATAGTGTCTTCCTGAAGTAGGCTCAGGCCCTTAGCCTGATTCTGTCACTTTTAAACTATGGGACTTTGAGCCTCTCAAAATTTCTTTGGCCACTCTGAAACTGTTTCCTTATCTGTGGCACGAACCGATGTGTGCAGCCTATGTGACATGGTTTTTGAAAATGTAAGATGAAATACATGACAACTGTTAGAAATGTAGACTCTATTATCTATATGTAGGATAGAAATTGAAAGGGGAAAAAAAACCACCACATAGCTAGTTATGGACTGCAAATCTCTTGCTGATGGTCAGCAGAGCCTCAGACTGAGAATAATAATGAATTACATAACTGCTTTGTACTAATTCCCCACACTGCAGAGAAAAGGCCAACGAAAATTATCAGGAGGTACCAGTAGGCTAACAATCTTATCTTAGATCAAGGATAATACAATCAAACTAAATGTTCCTAAGTGGACACCATAAAATAGTTTTAACATGGTATTTGTCGAATTTTAAAATGCTTTACAGCTCCTTTATGTTTGTTCTTGTTTTGTTTGTGGGAGTTCCAGGAAATGAACTAGATGGATGGAAAGCAGTGATAAACATAGAACAATCATTTAAATTACCAAGAGCAGATAGTCCATCCTCTGGGTATTTCTGTAGATGCTCAATAAACATTAACCAAAGTAGATGATTCCAAACATAGGCTCTTGTGTATTCCATTTTCATCTTTACACATTCTTCAGTCCTGAATATCTGATAGCATCCCAACAGTGGTTTGTTCAATCGATAAACATATTGGTATACACTCATGGTAAAGCGTTTGGTACATAGAAGGTACTCAGTAAATATTTGTTAAAGGAAAACATGACTACTGTGTATATTTGCTTACTATAGACTAGCCAATCTGATCCCTAAAATGTTTGTGCATTTAAAACACACAAATACGGGCCTTCCCTAGACAACTCTCATCTGTTCAACCGCATGAGGTCCATTTCTGAGAGCGGACTAAAACACTGTGTTTTATTCTACTGGAATCCAAACTCCAAAGTTAGTTGGAACATTACCTAGCATAGCAGGCGCTCAATGTTTGTAAACAAGATGCATATTCAGAGAGCAAACAGTTACTCCAGCCCGCATATCCCGCTGAAGAGCAGGAACTGGCCGCCTCTCCAGTTCCCATTCACCAGGTGACCTCTACATCTTCTCTGAGGTACAGGCCCCGCTCGCCTCCCAGCCATAGACTCTTCGTGCTCAGCCTCCCGAAGTTTTTCTCGCGAGCGGTCGACGTCCCACTTGTCATTCAAGGCGGTCTTGCACTGAGACTGCGCACCCTCCGCCCCGCCCAGCCCAGCCCCGCTCGCCTCGGTGGCTGCCCGACCCGCCCAGCAAAGAGCCTTGTGGCTGTTTCCTATTGGGACTTGGTTGCTATGGTACCACCGCCCTTGAAACTTGCAGGCAGTACTTCCGTTAAGTTAAAGGACAATTACTTCCAGGTCTGCCCTTACTTGCTATGGCTGACTGAGCAGTTACCGAACTCAAAAAAAGTGACCGTTTCCCGGAAAACTTCTAGAAAATCTTATTTAACGACTCTAACTTGTGTGTGTGACGTGGTATCATAGCCTTTCTTCCCTTTTATAAGATTTACTATATATTTTTCGTCTATTTGCCAGTCTCCAAAATGGCGCCGGCGCCGTTGGTAGGCCAGAGGTGAGTCACGTGGGCCCTCCCGGTTCCGGCGTGGTAGAGGCCCGGGTGTTGAACAGTCTCCGGCACCATGTCTGGTTTGTCTGGCCTACAAGCCCAACGTGGCCCTTGCCAATTAGCGTTGCTGCTTTCACTCCTGCTCGGCCCCAGTTTGGTTCTCGCCATCTCCTTCCATCTACCCGTTAACTCCCGCAAGTGCCTCCGTGAGGAGATCCACAAGGACCTGCTGGTGACCGGCGCGTACGAGATCACCGACCAGTCTGGGGGTGCTGGCGGCCTGCGCACCCACCTCAAGGTGCGGCGCTGGGCGGGGCGGGGCGGGAAGACTTCGGGCGTAGGCGAAAGGAGGCCGAGGGGTGAGGGTGGGGGTGGGGGGTCAGGCCTGCGGAGGCCGGGAGGCGGCCGGGTCTCCCTGGACCCCGAAGAGCCGGCTGTGGAGACCGCCCGCTCACCTTGCAGGTTGGCGTTGGCGGGGCGGGGCTGGTGCCAGGGCTGGGGAACCCCTGGAAGGCCGGAGGCCTTGGCGGATGTGACAGTTGAGCTGGGGCGACCTCGAGTTTGGTCGTTGTAGGGACCCCATATCTGTTTTGGTCCTAAGTCCCTTGAATTGTAACTGAGTCTCCAAAGAAGTCTTTACTTGTGGGGATTAGCACACTGAAGCCTGCGAAACCTGCGAGAGATAATGGAGGCATTGAAGCTTACTGTGAATAACGAAACCTGTTATTTATTGAGCATTCGCTGTGGGTAGATCTTGTGCTACTTTACATACAGTTGCATTTAGTTCTCACGCTCTGTGACCTAGGTACTGTTAGCTTCATTTTACAAGGAGACTGAGGCTCAGAGAGGTAGTAGAATAAACTGATGCCCGACCTGGAATTGGTTCTTGGGAGTTTAGGGGTTAAGTAACGTGAAAGAAAAGTGCTGGAATTTTGTTCTCGCCTTGCTTTTTATTTGTAATTCCTGTGATTGACTAAAATTGATTATTGGTCACAAATGGTCTCAGTTTCTAGTGTTTTCCTTCCTGGTACCCCAGAGTCTGGACTTGGCCAAGTTTTATGTAAATTTCAACGATATTCGAGTGGTGACAGCTATTTCTATAATGCGAATTTGCTCCCATTTTGCAATTAAGATGACCGAATTGATCTTTGAAAAGTTAATATAATTTGGTATTAGTCAAGATTGATTGCATTTTAGGTAATTTTACTCATCCACAATAAGCACGTGGTTTTATTTTTGTTTTTAACAGAATGGGTTTTAGTCTAAATAGGAAGAGACATTTTGATTTTTTAAATTTTCTTTAAATTTGTTAATTTTTATTTATTTATTTTTGTTACAGATGTTCCTTTTCCCCTTTTATTTTTACATTTTAATAGCATTTAGGATAAGAGGATTATAGTTTCTGTTTAAGGTATTGGAACCCAATATTGGTAATGGAGAGAGAAACTATTTTCAGGGCTATTGGCTCAGTGACCCATCCTTTTATTAGTCTCTTCAGGTACCAGACCCATTGATATCTGGCCAAGAAAGCCATGATGACATATTAGAGGCTTAAATACAACATTTTGGGGGTCATACTTCTTTCTTCAAAAGATGTAGTGCATCCCAGCCCCTGTGGCTCAGTGGATTGAGCATCCTCCCATGGACTGAGAGGCTCCAGTGCGATTCCCTCTCAGGGCACATGCCTGAGTTTCTGGTGGATCCTCATTAGGGGCATGCAGGAGGCAGCCCATCAATGTTTCTCTCTCCCTTCAATGTTTCTCTCTCCCTTTCCTTTCCTCTCTAAAAAAAAAAACAAAAAAAAAAAACATAAATGTGAGAGAGACACATTAAACCTGCACAGCCACTGGGGCCAGTGGATTAAAGACATGTTTTTTTAAAAAAGATGTAGTGCATAGAATTAGAGAATTTGAACAATGAAAAAGACTTTACTCTCATTTCCAGTGTTGCCCCTCTTATTTGTACTTACATTTTAAAATCCTTCTACTATTGCTCATCTGATAAAGTATCAATTTCCCAACATGCCCTGTAGTGCACTTCATGATCAGTTCCTGAAGCTTTATATACTTTGTCATTTTCCACTTGGCATTTTACATATGAGCCATGCTGAACAGTACCCTAAACTTCTCTCCTTTTTTTTTTTTTTAATCCTCACCCGAGGATATTTTTCCATTTTTTGTACAGATAGAGTGGGAGGGAGAGAGAGGAAGGGAGAGAGAGAAACATCAGCGTGAAGGGACACATCGAGTGGCTGCCACCCGCACGACCAACCAGGGCTGGGGACAAACTGCAACTGAAGTACATGCCCTTAGCGGGAACCGAACCCGGGTCTCTCCGGACCGCAGGCCGACGCTCTAACCGCTGAGCCAAACTGGCCAGGGCTCTCTCCTTTTTTTTTAAATGTAAAGCTTTTTTTTTATCCTCACCCGAGGACATTTTTCCATTTTTTTTGTTAGATAGAGTGGGAGGGAGGGAGAGAGAGAAACATCGACGTGAAAGGGACACATTGAGTGGCTGCCACCCGCACAACCCAACCAGGGTCGGGGACAAACTGCAACTGAGGTACATGCCCTTAGTGGGAACCGAACCCGAGTCTCTCTGGACCACAGGCCAATGCTCTAATCGCTGAGCCAAACTGGCCAGGGCGTAAAGCATTTTTTATTAAAAAATTTTTTTTCTTTATTGATTTTAGAGAGAGAGAAAGGAAGAGGGAGAGAGAGATAGAAACATCGATGAGAGAGAACTTTGATTGGCTGCCTTCTGCATGCCCCCCCACTGGGTATCAGGCCCACAACCTGGGCATGTGCCCTGACCAGGAATCGAACTTGCAACCTCTTGGTGCATGGGTGGACACTCAACCACTGAGCCACACCAGCTGGGCTCTTTTTTGTTGTTAATCCTCACCTGAGAATATTTTTTTTGTTGATTTTTTTTTTTTTTTTTTTTTTTTAAGAGAGAGTGGGAGGGAGGGAGGGAGAGAGAGATAGTAAGAAACAAATATTGATGTGAAAGAGACATATCAGTTGGTTGCCTCCCGTATGTGCCCCAATTGGTCCGCAGGGTGACGCTCAACCGCTGAGCCAAGCTGACCAGGGCCAGAATTCACTTCTTTTAATTAACGTTTTTCAGAGTAAGGAATTGTTGACCCTGTCATTTCCAGTGTAGTCCAGAGGGTTAACTATTATTCTGAAATCATTTGTTGTTTCAGTTTTTAGAGTCATTGTTTTAATCAGTTGCATTCATTTTTTATGCTCACATGTCTCTGGCTCCCATATCCTTTTGACACAGTCCCCATTAGCCTTTGATAGCTTCCCTGTTTTGTAGAACAATAAGGTGTCCTAGGCTCATCTTTTGTATGTCCAGCCCCTAATCTGGAAGCAGCTATTCCGCCAAGGAGTTCTAGTTCCTTTTTGTGAGGAGTGGTATTTTAGAGACCACAAGCTGGGTGTGTCATTTAAAATTTTTTAATACACTGTGCAGGCCACAGAATGTATTTGTGGGTTTGATCTAGCTCCTTATTACAGTTTGCAACCTTTTTCATAGTACTGTATCAGTTCACTCTGTTGTGCTTTCTCTTAAATTTTGACTACTTGTGGCCCAGGCTCTGCCTCAAGGACTCTCTCTGGACATCATTTCGGTTTCTGAAATTCATCTCCTGAGCTCAAGAATCTGATTGGACCCTGGTTGGTTCAGTGGTTAGAGCGTCAGCTTGCAGATCAAAGTCACGGGTTTGATTCCTGGTTAGCGGCACATGCCCTAGTTGCGGATTTGATCCCCAGCTGCTGTCGTGGTTGTGCAGGAGGCAACAAAAATTGATATGTCTCTCTCACATCAATGTTTCTTTCTTTCTCTCTCCCCCCATCTTCCCTCCCACTCTATCTAAAAATCAATGGAAAAATATCCTCAGGTGAGGATTTAAAAAAAAGAATCTGATTGGTTCAGACCCATTTGTGCCAGGCCATATTCTGGGTTTTCTCTTTGGTCGTATGTCCACCTCTGGTTCAAGCAGCAATAGTTTTGGTTGAAGTTAGGAGAACTGGAGACTGTGTATTGCAAAACCTGGCCAGCCGGGCTTGGCAGTTAGTTGTTACTCCGAATGAGGCACTCTCTCTTAGAAAGATCTTGGTGAATGTAGTGCCTTGATTGATCTGTCTAATTCACCTTCTTTCTGTCAAAGAGCACCTTAATGTCCAATAAATAAATTAGTGTTATCATATATCACTGTATGTTGTAGTGTGTGTTTACCCTTCTCCTCAGATAGACTAAAAGCTCCTTGAGCAGAGACTGTCTCATTCATCATTGATATGCCTGTGTCTAATACAGTGTCTGGTACATAGCAGGACTTCAACATAAGGAATAAATGAACAAATGAACTGCCACTGTCCTAGCCTCATCTCTGATCTTTCCCCCTCCTTTCCTCTTCTCTTCTCTCCCCCCACTCCCGACTCTATTCATACTGAACACCTTGCAGTTCTTTGAATAACATAATGTACTCTTAACTTGGACCAGTCTTTGTCTGTACTCCCCTCCTGACTGCTCCCATTACATCCTGTTAGGCATGACACTTTTCATGAAGTATGGTGCTTACTTTGTGAACTTCTTAATGCCTTTTTCATCTTTATGTTCTCAGTTTAATGTACTGCGTATATGCATTGTTGTACAACTAAGTTAGATATCATAATGTGTGTTTTTTTGTTTTTGTTTTTTTAGAGACAGGAAGGGAGAGAGAACTAGATACATCCATGTGAGAAAGATACATTAATTGGTTCCCTACTGCACGCTCCCTACTGGGGATCGAGCCCACAACCCAGGCATATGCTCTGACCAGGAATCGAACCAGGGACAGTGCTTAATCCACTGAGCCACATTGGCTGGGCAAATCTCATAATTTTATTGAGAAGCCCTATGGTATAGTGGAAAGAGCCTGGACTTGGAGTCAGATAGTTTTGGGTTCAAATTCCCGCAGCTCCACCTTATAGGGTGCATGGTCTTGGGAGAATCACTTAACCCTTTTCCTTGAGTCTCTTATCTGTAAGATGGAGATAATCTCATAGAATTGTTAGAAGGATTAATTGATATGTGTTTTGTATTGTGCAGGGCACATTATGGTGGGCCATAGATATTAGTACTCTTTCCTCTCTATTGAATGAAAATTGAATTGCTAACCTGACACCCCTGTCCTATGTCATTGCAGTGACTAGATAAAGAATATTTTAATGGGAGGAATTCTGAGTATTTTGTTTGTGATTCTTCCATTCATTCATTAAATATATATTTAATATTTAGTGTGTGCCAGAC